CAAAAGCAAATGGACAGGTGAAAAAAGCACCGATAAGGGTGATACCGAATGATCTCAAAGATTTCAAAGCATTAGATTGGAAGCTCTTGTAGTTATAATCTTAGAAAGCTTATTGACGAAGAGTCAAACTAATCGGATACAAACATGTGGCTATGGTTTATATGCCTTTGTTTCTCATATTTATTAGTAGTAAATTCTTAAATTTAAGATGCATAATTTAAAGCAAAGTCAAACATCAAACTCACAAAATCACACTGTAGTGGCATAAAACTACACAACTCTAAAAATCACACACAAATGTGTGAAACAAATATAATTATATTACTCATTAAAAAAGTGTCTTGATTATATGATGAAACATCTAAGCCCTCATGCGGCCATGCCTCCTCTAACCCCAACAACAATAACACAAACAATAAGAAACATAGGCATTGAGATGAACGAAACTTTGAATATTTTGAATTTCTGAATGAAAAAGGAAAATCAAGGGAAGTCAATGTACTTACCGAGAACACATTGAAAGCTAGGCTTGAAAAGTTGAAATACTCTTCACGTGACTTCTTAAGCGAGGCACCTGATAAATAAGGACCAAAAGATTCCTTATCAGGAAAAAAAAAAAAAAAACAATCAAAATGAGCAACATTGCTAAATTTAGTACTCAAAGCACAAAATCAGAACCCATTAGATAAAGCCAAACTTGGGGTTCCTTCCCCTTCTTGTTAAATATCTTCACACAGTTGAAAGTTTGAAACCCATAATTTGATTTCTCAATTTATGAAGAATCTGCACCTGTCAAAGTATACTATATAAATTTTAAACAATGAATAACAATACGTACTACTACCTTTGTTACAGGTTACGTGCAACGATTAGACATTTTCCCTCTCTGTTTTATGTCAAATCGTTGCACATAACCTGTAACAGAGGTAGTATATAATCAGGTCATCCCTAATCTGTTCAAAAAAATGAATAACAATGTCAGACTACAGATAATTACAGCAAGGGCAGCTAACTATGCAAAATAAACGAACCCCGAGCTATGAGAGTCCAGTAGAAATCGAAAACAAGATAATAAAAGGCAAATCATAACAACAAAACTAATACTGTTAACCTCCCTTAACTTGTACTACGTATAAAATATAGAGATTATCCCAACTATGGCAAATTGGCAATAACTAATAGTCAAAACTCTAAATTTCACACAAAATCACTGATAATCCGAATTTCAGAAAGAAGTCTTCCAAGAAATGGTGTTAATTAGGGTAACAAATTACCCCAGATAGCTCTGAATAATCAATAAAAGCCTCCCAATTGAATAGTTTGAGCATAAACTCTAATCAATTTTCCAAAATCAAAAGGGTAACAAAATTAAAAGAAAACTCACCTCAAATTTAATCATCAATTTCAATTATAACCAAATATTACTTAAATAAATAGAAAATCTAACAGTTACCCAACAATTCAATCAACCCCACATCAAACAATACCTTAAACCCCCAATTCATAAATTTGATTACCCAAATCTCGAAAAACAATTTGAGAAGAGAGATTACATTCAGGAGGTTGTTGAGGGTGATGAAAATCGGGAGGAGGGAGATTAGTAGAAGAAGCAGAAGATTGTCACATCATAGTAGGAGGTGGGCCCTGGTGAAAGTCCATTCCAGGATGCTGTTGGTGCTGCGGAGGAAGCGGCGGCCGCTGCTTGTACTTCGGCGGAGGATGCATGTGTGATGGTGGTGGGCCATTTCATCTCTGTTGAAAAATTGGAGTGAAACACAGTTAGAGGAGAGAGAGTGAACAACCAGTCTCATAGCTTTTCTTTCCATGCAAGCCATATCATGCCATAGAACAAGGTATTAAAAAAAAAAAAAAAAAAAAAAAAAAAAAAAAAAAGGTAAGTCAACAAAGAAAATGGTAATTTCGTAAATACTATGCACAACTCTAAGGTTAAAAGGGCATACACTATGCCCTCAAAGTAGTAACACATGTTATGGATTTTAAAGGATAGGGATGTATCAATTAGTCTAAGGTGCACCCTTGTGCACCTTAAATAGGTGTATCAACGTAGCCCAAAAGCCTAATTACACACAACCCAATTAAAAAAAAGCCTTAAAACTAAAAAACACGAAAACTGCAATACACCCACCCACACCCTATAAACCCACCCACACCTAATAAATGTAACGTCATTTCCAAACTCAAAAATCTTCTTCTTCTATATGATTTTCTCTCTCCTCTATTTCATTCTTTCACTAAAAAACTGCAAAAACTTCGATGGACATTAGGAAAGAGATGCAAAATCATAAGGATTCTCCTCAAAAAGGCAATTTTATGTAGATTTCACTTAATTTTGTTTGAATTTATATGATTATCACTTAATTTTGTTTGAATATTGTTCGAAATTTATTACTGGAATTGTCAAAAAAATTAGTGAAATCAAACGGATATTTTATGTTCACATTTTGAAATGCATATGTTTATATTTTGAATTCTTATGTTCATATTTTGAATCCGTTTGTAAACTTTCTGAAATACTTATATTCACTTTCTAAATTCATATGTTCATATTTTTTTATGTATATGTTCACCTTCTGAAATGCTTAAATATGTTCATACGCATTCAAAAATGAACCAATGCATATGTTCATATTTTGAATTCATATGTTCGTATTTTTAATACTTATGAATTATGATGCATATGTTTCATAACCATATTATTTTTATTTCTTCAATTTTTTATGTTCATAATAAATGCCTTACATTCATAATAATATTTTATATGTTCATAATGTAAATATTCATAGTAAATATTTGTTGTTCTCATTAAGTCAGTTTATGCATATCTTTTCTCTCTTAAATGCATTTGATCATATTTTTTACGCATATGTTCACCTTTTAAATGGTTATATTCACTTTAAGGAAATCAATGCTTACGTTCATATTTTGAATTGTTATGTTTACTTTCTTAAATGCATATGTTCATATGTTTTATGCTTATGTTCACTTTCTGAAAAGCTAATGTTCACACTTAAGGGAACCTATGCATATGTTCATATTTTGCATGATTATGTTCATTGATAAAAAAAATGCAGAAAATCCAATGAAATTCATACACAAATGAAATTGATCGAAGCTAAAAAAAACAAAAAGCACAATTCATATGAATTCAAAAAATCAAATAAACAACCAATTCCATATTGTAAGTAACATATTCAATCATTAAATCGAAAAAATGAAAAAATAAATAAATAAATAAAAGAGGAAAAAGGAATTAAAGAAGGAAGGAGAAAAAATAGAGTATAATTTGTAAATTCAAAGATTCATATATACTTTAATTAATCGAAATTAAGGCACAAAATCGAAATTCACACAAAAATTCATATTTTAATAACTATTTTCATGTTGTAAGAAACAAATTCAATCAAAAAAGTGTAAAAAAGGGGAAAAATAAAAAAAAATAAAAAAAAAAACAGAGGAGAGAGAAAATAAAAAAATGAAGAAGAAAAAATAAAGGGAAGAAATCTAATGTTCACTTTCTGAAAAGCTAATGTTCATATTGTATTGTTGTTACACCTATTTCTAGGTGCATGAGTGTGCACCTAAGAATATGTGAGGGACGTATAACGGATGAAAGAAAATAGAGTAAACTAAACACTTACTCAGGTCTGTTCCTAGCTTTATGGTGGCCTATGGGCGGAATGAGAAATTGGGGCCTAATTATCGAGTAAAGTAAAAAATGTAACTATTTTTTTTTTTTTTTTGGCTTTGCTTTGAAAGGATCGAATTAATAAAATGCCAAATTACAATAAAGGAAAAAAACAATAAAATTAAAATTAAGTAACCAAATCATCATACAAAACATTGTCTCATCATTTCTATATGCAAATTCACAAGTAATAGCGTCTATAATAATTTGTAATGTTCCAACTCCAATTCAGCAAGCAATGAATAAATATATGATAATTTACAGAAAAGAACATATGCAAAATACCACTTTTTCAGCCAAATTTATCAATTGTTTACATTAAAATGGTGGTAATTTGCAACAAAAATTTTAAAATTGGTGGTCTTTTACAACATTTTTTTTAAAAAGATGGGTTATATGCAAAAAAAAAAAAAAAAAAAAAAAAAAAAAAAAAATTTAAAAGGTGATTTTTTTTCAAAATTTCCTAATTTAAATGACACTTAAGCATAATTGACGAATGAGATTTCCCAATTTACACATATATAATTATTTTTCAAAATTCAAATAAAAGTGAATCGCACGGGCTTCATCTAGTGATTATACTAAGCCGGGGACTGAAGAGAGACAGGTTAGTTTTGTGCTTAACCTCTCATAAATTTTTGAGTAACTAGTTCACTTTAGTGTAAGTTGTTTCTTTGTAGAGATCTCTTATGATGTAATTAATGTTCCTTATAATTTTAATAAGAATAGTATTTTAATTACACTAACACAAGATAAACCCGGATTGAAACTAATTTTAAAGAATTGGACCGAAAACCGGACTTGTTGATTTAGGTTCAATCTCCAGTCCTAAAAATCAATTAAGGTTCTGCTTCATTCACGTCCGGGTCAGGTCCGGTTCGATTTTAGCCCGATGTACAAGCTTAATAACATTTAAGGCGCTCGTTAGCAAGATTATTTGAAATATGATCTAATACAGTATTGGGTCTTTGGCTATCCTACCGCACCACGCTGTAGCTAAGACCTATTACTTGATTAGTAATATAGCATTGGGTCTTTGGCTTGCTAATTCATAAATGTGATATATTCAATTTTCACATTGCCTACTTACAAGAGATATCTTCATGTCTTAGATGGATAGGATAATTGATAGTGCTCCAAAAATAAGAATTATTAAAGATACGAGTCTAAATCTTTTTTCCCTCCATTTATACATATATATTTAGGGGGGCCTCATTTCTGTTGTATTAATCTGTTTCTTCTACTAGTTGTTCTGTTTCTTCTACTTGCTCTGTTCCCAATAATAACATCAAGAATGGAAACACAAAGGTCTTACTCCGGCAAGCAAAAAAGCGTGGATAAATGGAGCAATCTTCCAAGAGACATACTCTTACACATCCTCCAACACCATGGTTTGAAGCCAGACCTTCACCGTCTTCGTGCCGTTTGCTCTTCTTGGCGAACCGCTCTTTCTCCAAACCCTGAATTTCCTTCCCATCTTAGACCCTGTTTCAGGACTCCAACACACCCTCTTTACGGAGATCGCCCTCTTTTCCTCCTAGGAACCCGATTCTACTTTCTATCTCCTCTCCCCTCTTCCGGTGTCGATGGTGGTGCATGGGTTGTCAAGATGATTGAACTCGAACCGTCCAAATGGCACCTCCTTAACCCGGTTGATGATCACTTGACCCTAGACTACTTTCACTCGGATCCACCCATTGTTGGGAAACTGGGTCTCAATCTGTTGGATTGTCGGGTTCTTGAACTTGATAAACCCATGTACTTGGTTCATCTATCGGACTGTAAAACCCAACCCAAATGTATATCCTACCGAATTGTAGATGGTTGGGCATTGAATTCGAGTTATAAGTATGCTGTGTTAGTGAATGATAAGAGAGAGGATGGATTGATGTTATGGAGATTGGGTGACAAAGAATGGATTGATATCGAGATTTGCCATTGGGGAGGTGTACTTGATATGGCTTTTCATAATGGAAAATTCTATGTAATCTTGCTCAAAGAAAGAGGGCATAATTGTCCTAAGTGGAAAATCGGAGTAATCGATCCTCAAAATGAAATGATTTCGATGCAGTTCATCGATAGGCCTGATTTTTTGGTACAAAATCAATTGGACAAAGAAATTAATGTCAAAGGGATTTCATACGAGTTACGGTATTTGAAGATGGTGTCGTCGAATGAGGAGTTGTATCTTGCCATCAACGGAATGCGAGAGGATTATGGTGGAGAGAGTTGGACTAGCAGAATGTTTGTGTTCCTGTTTAAGGAAGAAAAAGAGTGGGTGCGTTTGAAAAACTTGGGTGATCGAGCTTTTTTCCTTGGTTTTGGGCCTTATAATGAGGTGTCATTTGGTATCCCATCTTTGAAAGATTATCTACCACAATGGAAGCCGAGTACGATTTGTTGGTGGTTTCCTGATGTCGATGTAGAAAAAGGGGTGGAGGAATATGGTGAAGGAAGTAGCAGACCTGACTGTCCTATGCCAAAGGGACTAGAGTGTCTCAATAGTCTCATTTTTCCAACCTATGATAAATATTTTCATGTGTTCAACATACAAAAGCAGGTTAGGCTTCTCTTGGACTATCCAAACAAGGACCATAAGCTTTATCGAGGGTTGTTTTTTCCGCCTCCACCTTGGGTTAAATGGCACTGCCCTAGCCTTGGAAATGTTGATGTCAGCTTTACTGGTTTGTATATCGATGATCATGAAGATGATATTATCGATGAGGAGGAAGAGCAACATGCTTATATCACTGATGAGGATTACCAACATGCTGATACCGATGATGAGGATGAACAGCATGCTGATATTGCTAATGTGGAAGAACAGCATGATGATACCGATGATGACGATGGTGATGAGGAAGAATAGCATGATGATGCCAATGATGAGGATGAAGCTGCTCAAGCATTGATAATGTTGAGCTCAGGTTAAGTGGCTTAATTGCATTTTCACATGATATTGATTTCGTTGTGTTTAGATTGTGATCTGATTGCTTGCTAGATCTATCTAGTGCTAGTGTAGAGTCAGTAGACATTGCAGTGTTAGTAGAAATAATTGGAAATTTGTATGCCAAGGTACTTCATTATTACTAGTTATGTAAGAAATTAGTTTTAAGTCTTTGAACATTTACGTTGTATATGTGTCGATGATATTGTAATTCATTTAATATAGGAAGTGATTGGTTTGTCATTGAACTAAAAAGCTTTTGTAAATAAAATAATGAAGCTAAACTCTCATCACAAAACAAAAGACTACAAGTTATATTCATTATATTGAGTGTTCTCCTGATCTTTACTAATCAATTACCAATACGGAGTATGATTATTTATACAACTAAATAACAAAAGATTTAGCGACATAATCGTTTATCAACACCAAGCCACCACCATCGGATAACCTTTGTGGCCGATCATCCTTTTTCTCTTCATAATTAGGGAAGATTTTTCGAGTTCTATACTTTCTGTCGGCACAATGCTCAATCTTATACAAGCTGATTACTGTTGCACTATGCATGCTAACAGCCATGGAATTGAAGGATTTGTGACTAGCCCGAAATTTAAAGTACTCATTTTGTTTCATGCCAGGGAATTTAAACTATGCATTACAAATTGTGACTATGCATGCTTACTAATTTTTTTACTAGCAGGGATTGAATTTTACCTTAACACAAAATTAATTAAGTACCATATTGTTAGAAAATTTATTAAATTGTTATCTCATGGCAAGTGTTAGTAAGATTATTTGAAATTTAACTTATTTTTGCACAATTTAAACTTTATAAAAGTAGAAGTAGGGTGGTACGTAGGTGCACTTTAAAAACCAAAAAAAAATTGACGCTTCACACTAATAATTACTCCCTCTATTCCTTATGTTTTTTTGTCTCATTTGACTTTTCATGGTCTCCAAGACATATCTTCAAACGCGTATATCTCGATCTATTTCTATATGTGTAAAAATTATAGGTATTTGATATTAATAAACTATACAAAGAGACAATTCTAACAAGATCTCACATGAATATATTATCACTTATAAATTTATGGTCAAAGTTTTCAAATAGGGAAAAAATTAAGGAACTCAAATAATATTAAGTGATGTCTTTTAGGGAGTATGTAGTTAATACTTGTAAAAATAATTTCAAATGAGTAGAATTTTAGGTGAAAGGAACTCATAAAAATTGGGGCTGCGTCTTAAGTTCTTAACCAAAAAGTTAAGTAATCCATGGTTTATACACATGGGTGTACAGTGCTCATTGTACACCCGGATAAATAAAAAAAAGGCGGAAAGAACATCATGTGTTTCATAAAGAACATACATGCATTTGACAAAGAACATGTTTGTATTTAACAAAAACATGCATTACCAAAGAACATAAAAGATATAATAAAAAGAACGAGATAAAAACTTAATAAAATTTTCTAAAAAATTACACATTATTAACAGAAAAAATTTAGAGGTGGTTAAAAATCAAGTTGGCCGAGCCATATCATAATTTCTCGTGCCCAAATCCTAGAAAAGTAGCGGGTTTTCGGGCTTTTTTCGAACCCTATTCGAGTTTTAACTAAAATGCATTTTTAGGTTTGCCCAAACCCACCCTATTTCGGGGCGGATCGAGTCAGGAAGCGAGTCATGCCAATATTGATCACCTCTTAAAAAATCCTTACCAAAGTTATCATTTCCCCAAAAAATAGTTTTCTATATCTCCAAAAAAAATTCAACTTTCCATAATAATTTAGTTTTTTTACTCTAATATTATTTTCAATTAAAAATAATTTAAGATTTCAATGTCAAATATCAAAATAACATATGTTAAAACTTAAAAGAATATAATTTATATTGTAAAATACATATAGTTAATACCTAAATAACACACTAATCAAACTCAAAGAATATATGATAATAAAAGTAATTTAAATATGATATATGATAATAAAAATAGAATTTGGGCGTCATTACGACCTTAAAGAACATACACACCAAATTCAAAGAACATACTTTGTATTATTAAACCCAAAAAAACATACTGGTATATGTTTATCAACATATGTCAAATAACACAAGTTATAATGTAAAGAACATACTTCGTATAATTTTATTCAAAGAACACTCAAAGAACATATTAAAGGTATGTTGCCAAAAAAATATTAAGTATTACTACAAATGTTTCGAACTCGCAAATCACCAAATGTCTGACTTACCATCTAAACGAAAGTCTTCATTTTTTTTTTTTGACGGAAACGAAAGTCTTCATTAGTTACACCTTCGCATTAAAATTTTTTTATACTTCGTAATAAATATCAAAATTTGGGGCCCCAACTTATGTGAGGTCTTGTGTTGTGGGTTGTTTCATAAATAGCCGACCCTAGATTTACATACTCTTTCATGCTGATCAACTCAACTAAAAGTTTAAGGTTTTTTTTTTATTTTATTTTTTATTTTTATTTTTTTTTTATTTTTTGTTTATGGAAAACATAATCATAAGTTGATGGTTAAGGATCAAAATTGGTTTATATAATCTATCGCACGGATTAAATTAACCAAAAATTTAAGTTGATGGTTACGGGGCATTATATATTACACCCCTTGAATTCATATCATCATATGAGAGATCGTTGGATTTAAAGTGTGGATACAACATGAGTCTCCTCACTTTTGTATCACGTTGGTTTAGATACCATGTCAAGAGATCCACACAACCAAAAAATTAACCAAATCGTTAGGACCCAAGATTGAATTATATATTGTATCACTCATTCACACATATTATAATTAAATTCTCCTCCCCTTATAATATAAAAATATTTTATTAGCTAATTTGCACTATTTATGTATTAGTTAATTTTATACTAACATAATGAAAACATATTTTAATACTATATCCGTTAACTATTATTTACAATATAAAGGAATATTTTATATCTCACAAATAATACTCCTTTGTTGCAAATAATAGTTAAAGGAGATAATATAAAATATGTTGTTAGATAGATATTAAAATAAGGTTTCATGATATAATTATTTAAGTAATATTTATTAATATTTAATTATATAAAATAAAGTCAAATACAGTTGACTAAATCAGTTATTTTGGAGTAAAAGTAAGGAAATGGTAAAAGGGATACAGATAATGATAAAATGAGGGAAAAAAAAAGGAAAATGGAAAAATGAACTGTGAAGATTTTATTGGCCCCACAATCTCGATTCATAAAATCATATTGGCACTATTTAAACACATTTACATACCTTAAATCTTTGGAACCTAGACCTCTCCAAATAAAGAAATAGAATTGCACATTAATTTCCTCCCAATCATAATGAACAAATTTAGCTAATTCAACCCAAATTCATCAAAGAAAATGTCATCAACATTCAAATATACATTGGTATTTGATCAATGAACAAAGAAAAAGATGCACATAATGATGAATGCAATCACATTAGCGCGCACGGCGGCGCGTTGTTTAGGTGCGGTGGAATTGGCGGAGGTAAGCCGGTTGCCGTTCGGGTCAACGTGGTGGATAATATACGCCGCAATATCATTTATGATGGTACTTTTTGCGGGTATAATGTCGGGTCTTACTCTTGGGTTGATGTCGCTTAGTCTTGTTGACCTTGAAATTCTCCAACGTAGTAGTGATCCTTCTGAGAAAAACCAAGCTGGTGATCATTTATTCTTCTCCTCATTTTCGTGTTGTCGATTTCTTATAATGTGTATAATGTTGTCGAATTTTCATTGTTGAAGAATGAAAAATGTATTCGCTATTGCTTTATAAGAAATTTTAATGAAAAATGAACGAATTGTGGACTTATAAAATATTTTCATTGATTAAGGTAGAATTATGAGAATGCACAACAAATATGACAATCATAATTAAAAACAAGTTACTAATTTGTATTTAATTTGGGCAAATATGAATTAGAAACATTTTTTACTAGTCTTCATTTTACTTTAAATTCCCAGCCTTTGTTGTTTTTCCTTATATATATATATATATATAGTAGAGTGATTTGTATGCTTGTATACGCAGCTGCCATTCTTCCTGTTGTTCAGAAGCAACATCAGTTGCTCGTCACCTTGCTTCTATGCAATGCTTGTGCTATGGAGGTATGTACCTACATTTCAACTTCCCTTTTCATGTTTTTAGTAACTTCAAGTTTAATTTTAGATCATCAAACGTATCAAATTTCATGTGTTATAATTGTTGCTGTATACTTTGCTTGATGGTCACCATGCCTAAATACATATGTGAGAAGAATTTTCGATACAATTCTTAGTTTATGATGCTTAAGGAGGCCAAAAAACATGTAGATATAAAGTAATCAACTCCGAGTTGCTCTTAATTGTCAGCATCTTTTAACAATACTGCTTTGTTCTTGTTGCTTTAGTTAGCAAGATGCTGTGCACTTTAGCACTTATTTTCTTATAATTATGTAAAATTTATTGTTAAGTCTTTGATGTGAACAATTTCTAAACTGTCTTTTGCAGGCCCTTCCTTTATACTTGGATAAGCTTGTCAATCAATTTTTGGCTATAGTTCTTTCAGTAACTTTTGTTCTGTTCTTTGGAGAGGTAAAATTGTGAAGATAAACCAACAATGGATAGATAAAATAAATTTTACGATCACATTTATGAAGTTCATGATGAAACATATATACTAGGTTATTCCTCAAGCTATATGCACCAGATATGGACTTGCTGTTGGTGCGAATTTTGTCTGGCTTGTGCGTATATTGATGATAATTTGCTACCCAATTGCATATCCGATTGGCAAGGTATTACCTCAATAAATTTCTATTTTGGAGCTGCCATATGATGCAAATCGGTAATGCAATTTAATATCTAATGTTGGGCATTATATTTTCTTATATGTCAGGTTCTGGACTATTTGTTGGGACATAACGAGGTTCTTTTTAGGCGTGCTCAATTGAAAGCGCTTGTTAGCATTCATAGCAAGGAGGTAAATTAACATCGTGCACACTAAACTGTTTTGATACTAATAACTTGTCCTATCTATTTATGTTCCTGTATTACCTTAATCAAAGTGTAGGCTGGCAAAGGGGGTGATCTTACCCACGACGAAACAACAATTATCAGTGGTGCTCTGGATTTGACTGAGAAGGTATGTCAATGTCATCTCTATGTAGACAGACTGTAGATTCTTTCATTTGATAGATTTGACTGAGAAGGTATGTTCAATTTCATCAGTATGTCAGTCTAGTATCTAAGTCTTCAATTTTATTCTTTTCTGTGGCGGGAGGAAGACTGCCAAGGAAGCAATGACACCAATTGAGTCAACATTTTCATTAGATGTTCATTCGAAGCTAGACTGGTAAGCTCCTGAACATATTATTTGCCTTTTAAGAAGCTGTACATAATAGTTCATATGTAGTATCATATCGTGTTTCTGTATGTAGTCCATACTCCTACCATACTTTCTCTTGAGCCTCGTCTTTTCTTTTAATTTGGGGCATTGTAGATTTTGATTTATGTCTTATATCATAATAATATTCAGAGATTTTTTGGGGTTAGTTCTATGTGGAACTTATGTTGACGGTGATGACTAGTTCTATGAAATCTGAAAAACATGTATTGTGATGCTATTCAAGGTTTATCGCTGTAGACAACTAGATGTATACCATAAACATTGAAATCGGTATACTCCCTAATTGTTTTACTTAAAATACAGGGAAGCAATGGGAAAAATTCTAGCAAGGGGCCATAGTCGTGTTCCTGTATATTCTGAAAATCCAAAAAACATTATCGGTCTATTATTGGTAGGTTTCTTTCATTGGTACACACATGGAATCACAATTTTACATCCATAGATTTACAGTTATATTATCTTCGTAATGGTGCTCATCCATAATGGATTTTGATGCATGTTAAGGTAAAAAGTCTGCTTACTGTTCGGGCAGAAACAGAGACCCCTGTCAGTGCTGTTTCCATCCGCAGAATTCCAAGGTATGCCTACCCTTGCAACATCTTTGAGTTTTTTGCCGTTGCAATGTAAGAAACGATTACAAAATTCAATATTTATTATTCAATCTTTGCTAGGGTACCTTGTGATATGCCTCTCTATGACATTTTAAATGAGTTCCAAAAAGGAAGTAGTCATATGGCCGCAGTTGTAAAGACTAGAGCGAAAAGCAGGAGCCCAACTAGTAGAAACCATGCAGAGAAACCAAGGGACTACAACAATGCAACAATTGAGGATTCCGCATTAACAACTCCCTTGCTTCTAAAGGAAGAAGAAAGCTCGGAAAAAACAGTTATTGACATCGATAAGACTTGGAAGGCTATCACTACGAATGTGCAAGCTGCCACGAATTTTCCATCTGGTGTTGAAGATGGCGAGGTCATTGGCATTATCACCCTCGAGGATGTGTTTGAAGAACTTTTACAGGTATGTATGGACTGTAAACGTTTTTATCCTAGTGTACTTATGTTAACATAACCCTTTATACTGTCTGAAATACACTTGACTAGCTAGTTTTTCGCCATTTCAGGAGGAAATTGTTGATGAGACAGATGAATATGTTGATGTGCATAATCAGTATGTTCAATTTCATGGTTAAAGGTTTCTTTGTAAATTGTAATAGCGTTTGGCATAATTCTTGAATGATGAGATCAACCTTGGCTTCTGTTTGCTTTTAATTTTCTGCAGGATTCGTGTGGCTGCAGCAGCGGCTGCATCTTCGATTGCACGAGCACGTTCAATGAGAAGGCTGAACAAGGCACCAATAAGTTTTCTTTGAATTTATTTATTGCATGATGTTAACTAGTTATTTCACTTCTACAAGACCGCAATACAAGTACATATATATTATCAGCATATGCACATTGATCTTTATATTAATTGAAAAGTCTATAATTTGTTAGTACCTCAAGGGTAAATTACATGCATTTGGATCTCTTTAGAGGCTTAGAGCTCACATTCAGCTCTATCATACTAGGTATTTTCATATATGAGAGTCAATAGTAATGGTTGCAATTTAAAAGATTTTTTTATCCAAAAACTAACAGCTACTAGCTAGTTTTTATTAATTTCATAGGATTTTCAAATGTGTATATGATAAAAGTATGCTTTACAATAGATAATAGATGGTAGATTTATATCAAAGCCCAAAAGTTGATGAGAGGATTTGATGTATGCATTGAAACGATTTTAAGTTTTTAACATGATCACACGTGGTTATATTCCTTAAATCCTAAGAAAGACTGTAATATTTCAATGTGTAATTGTAGGGTGGGTCAAATAAACAAGGACACAATCGGCGGAAGTCTTCTAATGTAGAAAATTGTCTCTCACAATTGCTTTACGATTCAAGTAGGGAAAATTTTGTCTCGTCGACACCACGCAAGTCTTGTACAGAGGTTTGTGTCTCAATGAAATTACAAGAAACCAATACTGAACCTTTTCTTGAAACCAAGAAATGAAAATTTGATCTCCAAATTTTGTAAATGGAATACTAACATATTTCTTTTTATTCAAAGGATTTAAATTTTAGGCCAAATTAGAAAATAACACCTGCAAAAAGACCCGATTTTGATTATAACACCTTAACATTTCGAAATTTTATTATAACACCTACAAAAATCCCAAAATTTTGGTTTCACCACCCACTAACGGATTTTTGGATGGAAACCGCTAGTGGGACCCACTAGGGACACGTGTCAGTTGTTTATTGGCTTAAAAATAAAAATTAATAAAAAAAAAAAACCCTAACCCCCTAACCCAGCCAGCCCCACCATCGGCACCACCTACCCAGCCGCCGGCATCACCTGCCCTCGCATAATCCGGCGATTCAAGAGGTTCGATGGGATTACCAATAGGCCAAAAAGCTAGAATAGGACACCAAATTGATTAAAAGCTACGCGCAGTTACATAGGAATAGGCTCAAAAAGTAGTGATGCAATTTTATCCTGTATGATCTGGTTGACAACAGTAAAACCATCAGTTCTTCCTTTATAGAAGATTTCGGGTGCACGAGCAAGGTTGATGATCCGATTCAATAAAGGCTTTGGGATCGCGTATGGTCGAAGCATTCCTTGATTTAAATCTTTCCATGCATCCTCCACTTTCTTTTCTAGTACTTGATAAACATGTTGTTCGTCTGCAATTCCTGTTTCCTTCATGTAGCATTGTACAGAGGAGACTACATGGTCTCTGCTGTCCTGCTCAATCTGCAATACATATGTATAATAAGTCAATAATTTATAGGCGCAAATTATTTCATACAACTGGAAAACAAAACTAAGAATGTGGCCATGAGTAAATTATATATACCTTGGTGCTTGCGATGTCATTCAATAGCCTAATGATCATAAGTGATGCTTCAACTACCTTAGGCATTGGATCTTGGCACACCCATTCAAAGTCGTCATAGTTGGAATAATTGCCAAGAAATTTCACTTGTGGTTAAACTAATGCCGAATAAGCCCTATTACATTTTTTACAGGGTAAGATACAGCCATACAGGGGTGCCCCTGGCCTCCTATCACAAGAGTGGTAGGGTGAGGATCGAACCCAAGTCACTCCTAGGGTAGATAGAGGGGCAAACTGTCCCTCCACTCCATGATCCTCAACAGTACATGCCCTATTACATAATAACAAATAATTCATGTGAATTGAATTGAAGCAGAACATACCTGCTCTTTATAAATTTGTACACCGTATGATCTGCCTTCTTCAGCTAGCTCTTTCTCAAATCCATCTAATGTTTCAAAAAGCACTTGATACACACTATTGAAATATTCTGGCAGTTGAGCTACATAGCTATAATCCCACCTATGTATTTATTTTGCACAGTTATATTAATTCACCCGAACAATAGTACTATGATATATGATCAATGATCTAGAATAATTTTGATACATGTATAATATGATTGAATTAAAGTACCTATGAACTGCTTCGACGAAGAGTTTCAAGAGAGCCATATGCGTCGAATATGTCATCAAAGACTTCCACAATCATAAATAGTTTGATGAGTATTTGTCTAGCACGACAATATTTAGGTTCATAATAGCATCCCAATATCCAAAAATGGGCCCCTACCAATCTATCTCTTGCAAATGGTGCCTTTGAATACAAGTCTTTCCACCACCTAATTGGACATTCAAAGTCACAACTTGTTGAAACTTGATCCTTAAATTTAATTATGGTCAATGATACATCCATTCACATATTAATATAAAAAGAGAGATGTTCGATTAAGAAGGCTGAAAGGCTACTTCTCTTATTATCAGTAAATAAAAACGAAGGAAATATGTAGGGACTTACCTATCTATATCTTGCAACTCCTTTCGATGCAATAATTGAAGCAAATTGAAGTCTAACTTAGCCAGGTTGAGAAGAATTTTGTTGTGGGAAGCATCTTGTTCATAAAATCCGATGTAATGCTTTGACTCTAATCGAACAAAGCCTAGGTGAAGTGGTTGGTGAAGGGCGTGAACTACTTGTTCAGCCAAAGGAGGACTCAACTTATCGACTATAAGTTTAAGATGAGTTGTTGTAAAGGCGATAGCTTCGTCTAGGATATCATCTCCATGGATACGAACATGGGAGGCCTCGTACAAGCTTAGGATGCCTCGAGTATCGTTGAGTATGCAATCTGTCAAAGCCTCCTTGGTCATTCTTGAACTTCTTGAAAACATCTTCATTATTCATCACCAATCAAGTCAAATAGAACGTCAGTTGTTATAGAATGTCCATTACACATTCGGGGTTACTATAATATTATATACATTTATGACGATTAATAAAATAATACTCTAAAACAAAATTATTGTTTGTTACGTACCACAAGACACATGATAGCCACGTTGCCTTAGGATTCGAAATCAAGTGGAAGCATGGTACAAATCATATTTTTCACATTGATCATGGTAGGTTTCGTACACTTGAAGTAAAGCTTCCTCAATTTCCTTCTCTAAGTAATACGCCAACCTGAGGCGTTCCATTGCATCGATGAAATTTAGCAACTCCAATGGCGTGTTAACATTTGCAACTCTTGCAAGTAGCTCTTTCCTCACTTCCTCTTTTAGATGCTTAGCTTCTTGCTCCTTTTCAAGTTGGGCTGCCTATACCATTCAATAATTAATTTGTTATACAAATTACAATAGATGTATAAAAGGTTCAATTTGTATTACTGGTAGTTAGGTTCTTTTTTTTTTCGTTTACTTAGATTGTAACTAAAAAATCCATAGGGTTTCATTCTTTAAAAAAAAAATTTTGTAAAGAAATTATATACTTCCTCCATTCTTTTTTTATTGCACCATGAGGAATTTCACGCTTGTCAATGCATTACTTTAGCCGTTAATATCTTTAATTATACTTTTATAAAAATTTGATATTTGAAAAGCTGATTTCAAGACGAATCTAACTAGATCCCACATGACCATATTTTTTCTAATGGATAAATCACAAATAATGGTCAAAGAAGATTAAGTGAATAGTATAAAAGTCCTAATGGTGCAATAAAATAAAAACGGAGGAAGTATATCAAGTTGTATTCATGTTTTTAAGTTCAACACAAAGAAAAGTTAATAAGCAAAACAAAACTATTATATTACGAAGTACTTAAATTACATTCAATAAAATTCTTGTTCTCCATTTTTTTTTCCCCTCAACTATGAAAGATTTGGAGAATAAGATTTTAGTCATGCAAGATTAATTTATAAAATTGAAAGACTCAACTACGAAGAGGAAGCATAAATTAAATGAACCGAACCTTATTGAGAGGAGTGAATTCTAAAAAATTGTCACCCCAACGGTTGGATGAAAGTAAGCAATAGGTTGAGCACTAGACATTTTTTCAGCTCTCAAAATGTATATTGGAATTTCTTTGGATATTCTAGGCTTTGATACATTAAAGGATAGTGCCTTGTTTATATAATGTCTTGAAGTGTAGTAACTAGTGTTATACTACTAAGCAATAAAACAGAAATTACTTATCTCTTGATGCGTGAACCAAAATGACAATAGCCGCGTCGTGGAGAACCACTGACCTAAAAGACGATTCCGCGCTACCTCCCGGTGCAGTAGACTAGAAGCGGTCGCCCTCCAAGATAAGCATGGCGCCGGAGTTTATGTGCTCTCACAAACCCGACTGGAACTCAGAATACTTGCCCAGAAAACAGAACAGAAAGAACTCGTGTTTAGATAATTTTAGATAAGAGAGATGACTGATTGTGTTGTGTGTTTGTGAGTGGGAAAAGCAATGAGTATATATAGGCAGTAGAAGGGAGACATGAAACGTAAAACAAGGGACGAATCTGGCTAAGAAAACGACCAGATTCATTCAACCAGTCAACAACAAAAGCATGAGACAAGGAATTAATTAGTGAGCCACAATCAAGGGATTAATGACTAATTTAATTCCGTAACTCCAACAGTAAAAAAAGAATAATCCCAACAGATAAAAAAGAATGTTCTGTTTAACAAAGAAAGGGAAATAAAATTTCTCCAAAAAGATAACAAGGACCCACGCCCGCGCATCGCATCCCCCAAGACCTGAGGCCCGAGGCCTGAGCCCGACCCGACTCGGCTCGGCGCGCGCGCATGTGTGTGTGGAGTAACACTTACCTCCCACTCACTCAACTAAGTAGTGTTAAGACACTACAATATAAAAACAAGGAAAAACCTTTCCCCCCAACCAATGTGGGATTTTCCCCTTTCATTTGTTTTCTCTCTCTCTTGTTTTTTCCCCAACTCTCTTATTTTATATCAAGAACTTCCAACAATAATCCCCCACAGGTTCAAAGATATGAAAAAGAAAGGAAGGAAAAGATGAATTCTGGGCAAAACAAAACAATCGCATAAGTGTCAATGTCTCGCGACTTGAATTAACACATAGTGGATATCAAGCTATGATCCCTCACTTACCAAGTGAATTTCGTCTTGAACTCAATAGGGAGTTAGGGACCCTTCACTTTGAGCCACACAATTGAACATGTATAATATTTTGAAATTCCGCGAATAAAGGTGACGCATTATACTAGCCATACGTCCAGCCTGGATGCTCATAGGTGCTCTAGAGTATAAGCCCACGAAATACTCATAGGAAGCGGCCACACTTTCACACCTAAGTAGGTGAACTCCATCAAGTATGAGCTACAACACACCTCCGAAAAATATGGATATGGGTTCATTAAGAGCCATATGCTCAACCTCCTTCTCATTTGTAGCTAAGCACAACAAACATCTAGAGATGGTCCAATAAAAATAAAAATGTGCTTCCGAATTATTATATAATGTTCCCCTTTGAACTCATGGTGAGTAGGAGTTCACTATTTCACAATTCATACAACGGGCTTTAGCCCCATCTCTTCCGATATTTGCAAAACTAGTTTTTTACATAGGCCTTTAGTTAACGAATCCGCAATGTTTTTTTCGGACTTAACATAGTCCAGTGATATCACCCCTTCAACAACAA